GCCCCTGCATCCATGTGAGAGACGTGGAAGGAGTTCCAGGCTCCTAGCTTCAGGCTGGCTCAACCCTGGCTGTTGCAGCCATTTGGGGGAATGAACCAGCAGATGGAAAATCTCTCTCTTTCTCTCTACCCCTCTCTCTCTGTAACTCCGTCTTTCAAATAAATATATATTTAAAAAATAATTAAAATTTTAAAATGTTTAGTTCAACCATTCTGATTGTCTTTTTCTGTTTGTCAAAAATGGCTAGAGATGTACAATTTCATTTATTTCTTCCTGGCCCCACCTGTGACAATCTCTCATCCCATGTGGGCCTCACTTCTGTAGCTCTGTCACAGCTGCCACTTGACATTCGCTGATGCAGCTGTTTGATCAATATCTTATCTTCCCTAGGAGACTGCCAGGATCACAAGGGCAAGAGCCATACCTGCTTTCCTGCAGCACTGACTCATCTCTGGGCACTCAAGTTTCTGTGCACACAATAAATGAAAGAATGAATGGAAGAATTTAATTTTCAAATTCCAGGACATAGGACCAGCAAGTGTAAAAGCCTTGGAGGCAGGCATGACCATGGTAAGTTCTAGGAACAGAAAGAAAACCACTGTGGCCAGAGCTTCCTAACTGCAGGCCCTGGAGCTGGAGAAGAAGCCATGGAACAGTTACAATCAAATATCAAAGGGCTGGGGTTGGCACTGTGGCTCAGCAGGTAAAGCCACTGCCTGCAGTACCGGCATCCCACATGGGTGCCAGTTCAAGTTCTGATCCAGATCTCTTCTATGGCCCAGGAAGGCAGTATAAGATAGCCCAAGACCTTGGGCCCATGCAACCGTGTGGGAGACCTGGAAGAAGCTCCTGGCTCCTGGCTTCGCACCGGCGCAGCTCCAGCTACTGCAGCCATCTGTGGAGTGAACTGGCAGATGGAAGTCCCCTCTCTCTCTCTCTCTCACTGCTTCTGCCTTTCTGTAACTCTGCCTTTCAAATAAATAAAAAAATAAATCTTTAAAAAATATATCTAAAGGCCAAGTACATGTTAACAAATACAGACTTATGGGGCAGGCATTGTGACACAGGTTAAATTACCACTTGGGACATCTACATCCCATATCAGAGTGCTAGTGTGAGTCTCATCTATTCCACTTCCCATTCAGCTTCCTGCTAATGTACCTGGAAAGCAACAGACAACGGTTCAAGTATTTAAGTTCCTGCTACCTATGTGGGAGACCTGATGGAATTCCTGGCTTCTCGCTTCAGCCTGGTCCAGTCCCAGCTGTTGTGGTTATTTAGGAAGTGAACAAGCAGAGAGAATATCTCTCTCTCTGCCTTTCAAATAAACAAACAAGCTAACATATATATATATATATATATATAATATATATATAACACGTATAACATAAGTAAATATATTACATATACTCTCCAAGTTATGAATCAGCATATATTCTCAAAACTATTTTTAACCTCAGGCATTTTTGGATGGTCATGGTTCATCTTCTCTGTAGGAGCACTTTAAGTTTTAAAGAAGGATATAGAAAACTCTTTACTTAAAGAAAAAAATATGGTGAAATACTCATAAAGCTAGTTGCACTAATTTGTAGATACAAAGCCAACATTCGTGGCTCCCATGAATAGCAACTGAATGACATCATAATCAAGAGCTACACAGTACACTTTTAAAGCTTATTCATCCAAAATATTTAAAGGGAAAGGGACTAAGTAGACAAAAACTTGTGATCTACAGAGGTTCCCTAGAACCAGAAAATACTGTGAATCAGCTTGTCCTTAAATAACACATATAGCCAACACTAACTATAAACAACATATTGGACTTGGTGGCATTGAGGGAGGTAAACAGGCTATGTAACTAGCTTTTCCACAGCATGTGTTTTTATGAGGCTACAAAGTTGGAGGACACAGGTACCAAAGGAAGAGGCAGCTGGCTTAGATTAACTGTGTTTGTGAGAAACACACATCAATTTTTAAAGTTCCATCTGCTATAATAATCTATGCTATAATGAACAGCCTCCCAAGTAATTTAAAAAACATTCACAGGTTTGCTTTAACAAGTGTTTTGCCTTTTTCTTTTGAGACTCTGCCCCCTACAGGAGATGAAGTGTTCCTACCTGAGAAAAGAAACCAGTATGCCACAGCGCAGTGTCAAGTAGGATGAAACGCACTGTGTGTATCACAAGGCCACTGTATATAACACTTTCTGATGGAAGAAGGGTCATTTAAAAGAATTTCATTGTTCAGTCATATTTTTTTTAACTCTGGGATCTATCACACGATGATCAATTGGGACTGACTCCTCCACCCCAGATAGAAATCCACCTGTGCCCCATTCAGAATTCCAAATGCAAGGCGAAGGTAAAAGCTGAGCAGAGCAAAAGAGCTGTAGGCTACACTACGCTATTCCCTGAATTCCCTTCTTCTACCTTTCCCCAGCCTGTCCTCCAACTGCCAGATTTCAGGAGCACCAAATTCAGACAGCAAAGGAAGGCTTCCTATCACTCAAGCCTATAGCAGCTTCCAGGAAGAGCTACTCCTGCCTGGTACCTGCTACTTCTCTTCTACTTAGCTCCCTTCTTCCTATCTCTTATATTCACCTGGGTCTTTTTCCTCTTTTCATTTCACTGACTGCTGGGTGCCCTGGGCTTGCTGAATGGTACCCTCTACCTGCATCTCTCTTTCCTTTGAGGATAGTAAGGCTACTACTACAGTGAAGAATGCGGGCAATGCACTCTCCACTAGGAAGCAAACCTAGTGAAAAAGGTGAATGAGGTGACAAATAGGTGACCACCTCTGTGTATCATCCCAGGCATTTCTTCCCCTTTTACTATAGTTTCTTGATTCAGCAGTTCCCATCTCTATCCAGAGAACTAAGCTGAGCTGTTTTCCCTTATTCCAACAACAGCAGATTGATGGTCTAATCAGCAAACTTAAGCCACAGGTGTATATAATTCTAGGATGTCCACAGAGTAAGCACTTGGTGAATTATTACTGAATGCCTAGACTATGAAATATAACATATGAACCAGTAAAATTAAGACACAAAAATATCAATAATTTCTAAACAACTCAATAAACTGCTAAAACTAGTGTGTCTTAATTTCAACCACTTACCAAAAGTAGCTGGCTGACTTATCACAAGGTGTCCTGCAGCACCTCACTTAGTAGGGCTTCTTAACCAACTCCATGTTTCCAGCCTCTGCAATCCCACCCTTCAGCTCTCTACTCTGTAGTCCCAGGGACCCTCGGGTCAAAGCAGGGATGATTTACATGATCCAATCCCCATTTTAGGTAAATTATTTTTCAGTAAAAAGGCCAGCATCAGAACAAACCTAAATATAAGACATGGATTTCATTTTGCTAATACCTTTTTTTTTTTTTAATGCAGGAACAAGAATAAAATTGTAAACGTGGTCTTAGCTAGTAGTGAACTTCTTGTTCTTTTTTTTAAACAGCACATATAAAGCTAATGGGCTTGAAACCTTCCAAATCAGCCATCTGCATGGTAAACTGCTGTTACACATTGTGGGGTTTAGTGAAAGGGAAATAAATTTGATTTAGTTTATGGCAGACGTATAGATCTGGTTTAGTGAGGATTTTTTTCCCCTCCTATTTTATGTTTTTGGGGAAGATAGGAAGAACGGGGAATAAAGGACAGAAGCAATAATGAGAATTTAAGAAATAACATATATGGAGGCCAGTGCTTTGGCATAGAAGGTTAAGCATCTGCCTGTGGCACTGGCATCCCATATGGGCGCCGGCTTGAGTCTCAGCTGCTCCACTTCTGATCCAGGTCCCTGCTGATAGCCTGGGAAAGCAGTAGACTATGGCCCAAGTGCTTGGGCCCCTGTACCCATGTGGAAGACCCTAAAGAAGCTCCTAGCTCCTGGCTTCAGATCGGCTCGGCTCTGGCCTTTGCCACCACTTGGGGAGCAAACTAGCAGATGGATGATCTCTGTCTGTCTGTCTGTCTGTAACTGTCTCTCAAGTAAATAAATAAATCTTTTAAAAAGTCACAGATTTGTATCAATTTAAAAAATTAAAATTAGGGTCTATGGTTCATCTCCTGGCTGATCCAGTTTTCTGCTAATGGCTTGGGAAGGTAGTAGAGGATGACTCAAGTGCTTGAGCCCCTGCCACCCAAGTGGGAAATCCAGATGAAGCTCCCGGCTCCTGGCTTTGGCCTGACATAGGCTTGGCTGTTGCTGCCATTTGGAGAGAGAACCAAAGAGTGGAAGATCTCTCTTTCTGTTTCTCCTTCTCTAACTCTGCCTTTCAAATACATACATCTTTTTTAAAAAATAAGAATTAAAAAACTGAAATATTACTGGCCTTGAACTCCACTTTGTGTCTCACCCTCACACAGCAGTTCCGGAAGTCCCAGGCTTTCCCATGATGAGGCACAGGCCCACCATGACTCAGAGGCCATTTGCTGAATAATCACCCACCCTGCTTTTAGCCACTTCTATGTCTTCTGTCAAGGCTTACTTTAGATTATACCTTAACAGGATTTGACAAGGTCACCATCAGTGATAGTTATTGAGCACATTTGCCTTGCCTGAGGAGTGTCTGTTGTCAGCTTTGAACCCAAATGTCTCATATGAGACAATCTGTGACATCCATGTTCACAGTGACCTTTATTCAAGAAGGCAGAAAAAATGGGATTGCAGCCAAGGCAAGAAGCCTAAATTCTAGTCTGGTTAGGTTTTGGCCAAGTGACTGATGCAGTGGGGGGGGCGGAGGATCATGGCTGTTTCTGTTTTCTTTTTTCAGTGGCACAGTGAAAACAGACAGATGTTTTAAAAAGCAACTCCTTGGAGGAGAGATGCCTTTTATGAACACATTGTATCGCTTCTTGGCCTTTTGGCTAAGATCAGGTGTATAAACCCATGGCAGCTACAACTGTTCTATCAAAGAGCTCTTTAAAGTGAAATCATTCGATCACGAGATTCAGGTTGGTTCTTTACTGAGCTTTAGACTGAAAATTGGCTTCATACCTGCACATTTGAAACTCTGTGCGGTGAGCCCTCTTTCCAAAGACAAAGTCGTCAGGATGCTCAGGAAGCTGGTGGTCACGGACTGGCGCTTGTTCTTCCTGAGCTCGATCCCGCCAGGCTGATCCTTGGGTTTGTTCCTCAGTGTGACCTGCAGATTTTGCTCTGAACTCCTTGCTGTGTTGGCAGCCGTTTTCAGAGCCTCCATCCACTCCTGAGCCCTCTGCTGGGTCTCAGCTCGGAGGCGGAGGACATCCTGCGGGAAAATGACTTGAAAGCAAGAGTCACACCCATCCAGGTTGTCCATCTGGACAGCCAGACACACGTCCACATTGTAGCTGAGCAGGGGGTCATCGTCCAGCTTGCCGGGATGAAAAGCCATTAGGTAGGACCTGCTCAGCACAAATGTGAATGCCTTCCAGTTGTTCTGGACGGTTAGCCTATAGAGTGTCCCTGACTTGAGGATGTTTTGGTACTGCTTGGGATTATCCGAGACAGAGGATGGCGGCGGCAGCCCATTGGATTTCTTCTGTAAACAATGGCTGTGGGTACAGTCAACATGATGGCCAAGCCCTGGAGAGTTTGCCAGCTCATCCTGACGTCCCACAGAACCAGGCACAGCAGCATGCACAACTTCCCACAGCTTCTGCCCCCAGTCCAAAGCCTCCCACGGTGACTCTGCCTTTAGTTGTAGCTGGGTGTTGTCATACAGAACGGTATCCACCATCCTGGCCTCAAGGTTGCCCAAAACAGAAATGCTCTGGAAATGTGAAAGCTGGTACGTGGCATAGAGGTTTTGATTCCCACTGCTGTCAAGGCTGTAGAAGTATAAGTTGTAGGGGGAGAGTTCTGCGTAACAGCTTTGCCAGTAACTGTCATGGTCCTTCCTAATCTCCAAGTATCCCTTTTTCAGAATGTTTGGGAATGTTTGCTTGTGTTCTAGAAAGGAGAAAAAAAGTATTAATTAGTTATAAGATGGTAGGTATAGGAAACCAAACAGATTAGGGTTGACATCTTTCTGGTTCCAACTGAACAAAGTACAAGGAGTACAAGCAGTACAATTCTTTTTTTTTTTTTTTTTTTTTTTTTTTTTTTTTTTTTGACAGGCAGAGTTAGACAGTGAGAGAGTCAGAGAGAAAGGTCCTCCTTTTTCCATTGCATCACCCCCCAAGTGGCCGCTATGGCCAGCGCTGTTGCGGCCAGCGCACTGCGCCGATCCGAAGCCAGGAGTCAGGTGCTTCCTCCTGGTCTCCCACGCGGGTGCAGGGCCCAAGGGTCTGGGTCACCCTCCACTGCACTCCCGGGCCATAGCAGAGAGCTGGACTGGAAGAGGAGCAACCGGGACAGAATCCTCTGCCCCGACCGGGACTAGAACCGGGGGTGCCGGCACCGCAGGCAGAGGATTAGCCTAGTGAGCCGCGGCGCCGGCTGCAGTACAATTCTAAGATGATTCCTAGTTGGCAAGATGTAACTGGTAAGAATCCCAGATCTAAAAAACTGAACTGGGAAGGAATTATAAGTACAGGAGTAAGCATGGAAGCATGCAAGGTCATGTCATGCAGAGGTCTATGTGTAAAACAAAAATCCTGGAATAACCATGACTGCTTCTACCTTGTAGAACCACACTAGCAACCAACCACACTTTCCCAGGATTCCTGGTTTTAGGTCACATTCTACAGAGTACTAAATAACAAAGGAAAACTTTCCTTCTGCCATCAGACCTAACACCCTGCTCATACTCTTCTCTTCCTTCAGTTAGGTCAATGGAAAAGAGAGTGCATAAAGTGTGCTGCTCACAAGTCCCAAGTCTCAGGCATCTCCTGGCCCTCACATCCAGTTCATAGGCCTTCTACCAGTTAGCCAGTTTGTCAGACCTGACCTGACTAGCTCACTTTTTACATCTCTGTTATGATGGCAGTTTTCTCTCTGAGCCTGACTGCTAATGCTGTCCATTGGCTTGCAACTCTCCTTTCCACTGCTTCAGCTGGGGCCACACACATAGCTCCCTTAGAAAGTGACTTGTGACTCCCCAACTCCTACCCCTGCCTCACCTGCACACACATGCCCCTGGGTCAGTATCTGGTGTCCCTAGGATATAATTCCTGTCTCACAGGCTTCTATCAGATTGTATTAAAAAAAAAAAAAAGATTTATTATTTGATAGAGTTACAGAGAGAGGAGAGAAAGACAGAGATCTTCCATCCTCTGGTTCACTCCCTAAGTCGCCACAACAGCTATAACTGGGCCAGGCTGAAGCCAGGAACAAGGAGCTTCTGGGTCTCCCACGTGGGTGCGGGGGTCCAAACATTTGCGATATTCTCTGCTGCTCTCCCAGGCACATTAGCAGAGAGTTAGATAGGAAGTGGAACAGCCAGGACTTGAACTGGCACCCCTATGGGATGCTGCCCACATATGATGCTGGTGTTGCAGGTGGCAGCTTTACCCACTACACCACAACACTGGCCCCTATCAGGCTGTATTCTAACAGTTTATGTAGGGGCCGGTGCTGTGGCACAGCGGGTTAATGCCCTGCCTGAAGCACCAGCATCCCATATGGGCACTGGTTCTAGACTCAGTTGCTCCACTTCCAATCCAGCTCTCTGCTGTGGCCTGGGAAAGCAGTAGAAGATGGCCCAAGTCCTTGGGCCCCTGCACCTGCATGGGAGACCCAGAAGACACTCCTGGCTTTGGATCAGCGCAGCTCCGGCCATTGCGGCCAATTGGGGAGTGAACCAGTGGATGGAAGACCTCTCTCTGTCTCTGCCTCTCCTCTCTCTGTGTAACTCTGACTTACAAATAAATAAATATTTTTTGAAAAAGTTTATATAGATGTCTAAACAGAATAATTTACAAAGTTTTTTTTTTTTTTAATATGCCCTTCCTTACTGGACAATGAGCTCCACTAACAGCAGAGTGAAGTCTTCCCTTTTATACTTTTATCACAGTATGTAGTACAGTGCCTGGTACACAGCAAGTGCTTAATTAGGTACTTGTTAAAATGGAAACAAAACTCACAGCATAATTCCCTAAACACAGTAGGTATAATCTGGTTCTCTTTCTATTTTCTCCTTTCTCCTCAGTTGCACAAGCTTATCTAGCCATGCCATCTCTAATCATTGATTAACTGCAACACATACCAGTTTAGTACTTTAATAAAAGGCGACTGTTACTTGAGAGACTTCCTGAGACTTTTATCAGACATGAAAATGATATCCATGACAGAGGGAGTACTCCACCCTGCTAGAGATGTTGGTTTCAGAGATGTTTCTAAATTGCTTTGCTGACACACATTGAAGACTGTCATAAACTAATTGAGTCATGCCCTAAAGAAGACAAATCACATCCCAAAGGGTATGGTTTCTGCTTCTGGCTAAAGAAAAAGACTGAAACAGATCTAGATCTTAAAAATAGAAGTCAAAAGAGAAAATGAGAGAAATGACGCAGAGAAAAACCAATTTTACCTGTTTTACATCTCTGATCCTGACATTCATTAGTATTTGTGCGGCAACTCAAGAGCCATTAATTTCTTGCAACCCACACTAATCCCTTTGTAAGAAGAGATAATGGATGGCCACTCTCAGGTTATCTTTATTTTCCGATAATGCAGTGTTGTTACAGACGCTATGGCTGCCTCCCCATTTCTCATTTTCATCAACATTGATGACGGCTCTACCTTTTCAGTAATAAGATTTACAACCATGTCTCCTTCTATACCAGCCCTCCTGTGACCCAGCAGCTCAGCCATGCATCCTTGAGTAAAGTAAAAACCATCCCTCTTGCTTTTAGCCAGAAAATTTCCTCTCCTCTTACCTCCCTGAGAGCTTTTTAGAACAACTACCATGAATTAGAAATTCTACTTTAATTGGGTCCTGGCCAGTGTAAGGTGGGTGGTAGATGACAGCATGAGTGTACTAGTCCTGCCAGTGAATCTTCAAGTCCCCTCACTTCCTAAAAGCAGAATAAGGATCAAGAATGCATTATTATTATTATTATTTTGACAGATTGAGTGGATAGTGAGAGAGAGAGAAACAGGGAGAAAGGTCTTCCTTTACCATTGGTTCACCCTTCAATGGCCGCTGCAGCCGGCACGCTGCGGCCGGCGCACTGCGCTGATCCGATGGCAGGAGCCAGGTGCTTCTCCTGGTCTCCCATGGGGTGCAGGGCCCAAGCACTTGGGCCATCCTCCACTGCCCTCCCAGGCCACAGCAGAGAGCTGGCCTGGAAGAGGGGCAACCGGGACAGAATCCGGTGCTCCGACCAGGACTAGAACCCGGTGTGCCGGCGCCGCAGGCGGAGGATTAGCCTATTGAGCTGAGGCGCCAGCAAGAATGCATTATTTCGACATGGTTTTCCAACTCAACAAGCTGTGGTTCTGATCTCTGCTGCCCCAGTTCATCTTCAGTCCTCTCAAGCTGGTATGTTGGACAGAAGATACAGAGTGCTAATCATAGGAAATGGCCTACTCTTACAGGCTCTAGTTTCTACTGTAATTTCTTGAAAAATAAGAATCAAGAAGAAGAAGACAGCAAATATGACTGAGAAACTATTCTCTTGGGCTATCTACTGCTTTATGGGTGACTAGATTTATTGACAAATCAGATGTATATATTTAAATCTAAGCTTTCTTTTTTAAAAAAAGTTTATTTTTATTTATTTGAAAGCAGAGGAAGAGAAAGAAAGAGAGAGAGAGGGAGGGAGAGAGGGAGGAAGGGAGGGAGAAAGGGAGAGAGAGAGAGGCTGACACTGCAGTATAGCAGGTTAAGCCGCTGCCTGCAGTGCTGGCACCCCATCTGGGCACCGGTTCAAGTCCCAGCTACTCCAATTCCAACCCAGCTCTCTGCTAATAGCCTGGAAAAGCAGAAGAATGGCCCAAATACTTGGGCCCCTGTAACTATGTGGGCAACCTGAAAGAAGCTGCTGGCTCCTAGCTTTGGATCGGCCCAACTCCAGCTGTTGCAGCCATCTGGGGAATGAACCAATAGATGGAAGATCTCTCTCTCTGACTCTCTTTCTCTCTCTCTCTAACTCTGCCTTTCAAATAAATAAATAAGTCTTTTAAGCGAGAGATCTTTCATCGAATAGTTCACTTTCCAAATGCTTGCAACAGCTGGGGTTAGGCTAGACTGAAGCCAAGAGTCAGGAGATCCATCTGGGTCTCTCATATGGGTGACAGGGACTCAAATACTTGAGCCATTACCTACTTCCTCCCAGGGTGCACACCAGCAGGAGGCAAATCAGAAGTAGAGGCAGTACTTGAACCCAGGTGCTCCAATATGGGGTGCTGGGAGCTTAACCCACTGCACTACAAGGCCTACCCACCTAAGCTTTCTTTAATCTACCACAGTTCTTTTGTTTCCTAAGACCATGTCATTCAATTCATTGAGTTAACCCCACACATATTAAAAAAAAAAATAGATTTATTTACTTATTTCAAAGGCAAAGAGAAAGAGAAACAGAGACCTTCCTTCCACTGGTTTACTCCTCATATGGCTCCAGTCTGTGGTTGGGCTACTCTGAAGTCAAGAGCCAGGACTTCATCCGGGTTTCCCATGTGGTTGCAGGGACCCAAACACCTGGGCTATCCTCCACCACTTTCCCAGGTGCACTAGCAGGGAGCTGGATTCAAAGTGGAGCAGCTGGGACTCAAACCAGGACCCACATGGGGTGCCGGCACTGCAGGCAGAGGCTTAGCCTTTTATGCAACACAGCCAGCCCTTCCACACATATTCTTTTAAAGCATTCAGTATTACAAATGAATAAATAATCTTGATCTTAACTAATATAAATTATTAAGATAGAATCATTAACAAGATTTTCACTATTTCCAATAACTATACCTATGCATGACATACTGAAACCACAGGACAGAAATTCCTCATAAAAAGAAAGCAACTCTTATTTCTCCTTTGGTTTCCACTCTGGATAGAAAGAAGACCTGGT